GATACTTTACTCCGCTTGTTCCAGTCTACTCAGCTGTAAATGAGTGCGTCGATGGGCAGTGCTCGAATTGTTGAATGCTAGCTGTGAGCGCCGAAATGGCAGCTCCGACTGTATGCTCCCCGAGGAGTTGAGAAATGTATTGGCTGGTTGCAAAGGCCCTATAACAACGGATAATAATTTGTGAACCGCTTTGAGACGACCTACGAACTAGATTGTGATAAGGCGGTATATAATAACCTCGAACTATTATTATGCATTGCTTCATGATAACATTTTTGGGAAATATTTCAACGAAATATAGTTCACATATAATTGTTTCTTAGATATATTGTTTTTCTGAGTAAAACATATTGTCGTCGTTATCAAAACATAACAATAACATAATGAAATATATATACAAGATGGCAATTTTTAAATTAAATAGTATTTTCAATTAAGTTTGTATATGTTGAAGGGCATATATTTTTTCATTTTTTATTGAAAGAGGAATAAAGTAATACTGTTTGATATTCGGCTTAATGTTTTCTAAACCATTCTTTATTTCAAATTATCTGACAAAAAGAAATGCAATAGTTAGAAAGGAAATATTCAAAATTTTCCCATCATGCCTAGCTAAACACGTACATACGCTGCCATGTTGTTGTGTGATCTGAATAGTGGGGAACCTTTCTGGCAGGTAACACGTTTCACTGGCGGTTCTGCGTGCTCAATACAGGGCGTCCTTTTTATTGTTGAACCAATTGTATACTTCATATTGCATATAGATAAGGAGTAAGAATGGATTGACACGAATGGAATGGTTTTGGTATAATTTAGAATAAAAAATAACATTTTTATTGTTTCCTACCAATACAGTGAAATTGGTTTCACCATTAAGACGATGATGTTTGAGTGGTGGTGCTACAATTTTAGTTGAGGACGGTTGGGCGTTGACTTTTGCCCTTGAAGAAGGTCATGCGGCTGAAAAATCGGACTGAGAATAACATTTGTTTTATCATTAACACTCCTGCTTCTTTTTATTCCCGTTCTTAAGGTACATCATGGCTTACAGGGTCGGCGTCCGACTAAGCTATACAAGAAATATAACTGTCTTAACACTTACATATCTGCTTCCGATACTTATGGTGTTTGCATGTCCAGTGTATGAGAGTTTGTTCTGTACTGTCGGTTTAAATGCCAACGGCTGACATACAAACCCACAACACAGGACATTTAAAGATGCCAATTGACGAAGAAAATGTTTGAATGTCCCCATAACGATTTTGAAAGAAAAATGTGCAAATTGTTGTATGTGATTATCAAGATAGATTGTGCCAGTATGACCATTAGTAAGACTTGCTGTTTTGTTGTCACGAAGAGGACGTGGTATACTTGGGTTTTACTAGGATTTATATTTACCATATAGGAACACCTGAAGGACGTATGTATGTCTCGCAAAATTGATGTTGTAACCAGACTTACGGTGCAGAAACATCTATGATGCAAAGGTGCAGTTTTGAGAGTAGAAACACGTGTGAGCTGACTTTTCCCTTGGTAGGACAAGTTTACTTCTTGGAAAAAATGGAATGTATCTGTTTAATGTGTAAGAAATATTACATGATCACTAAACTGTATGCACCTTGCAAATATCTGCCAATGAGATAATAGATGACATGATTACCTGAAATTTGCGCAGGAAATAGATTCAAAGTAACAGAAAATTACAAACTAGTGCCACATAAAACGTTCACTTTATTCAAATTAGATATGTACAAACTTTTTATTTTGATGATTAATATCAAATAATGTGTTTTATACAACTAAATAAGGGTTCCTCACCCATTAAAGTAAGACACCAAAGATATTATATTAAGCATGAACTGGTTTACCAGTTTCCGCTCTACCGAATGAGCTTAGGTACATTTCGTCCTAACCGAGTTGGTAGGAAGCGGCTGGTATTTTAACAGGGTAACATATTTCCCTTACAGAACATTCGTTGTCCTGAGTTTTGCATGGGTCATAAATATTCTTGTGATTCGCAGTTTTTACGTCAATATTTGCCGGATCAATACATGGGCGTCCACGAATCAGAGGTAAACCTTTCCATTACCTTCGCTAGGAGTTAAACCTGGTACCCTTGTTGTACCAGTCTAACGTTTTATCGAATAACCTTAAGATAAATGAAAACAGAGAAATTCAGTAGGAAGCAGATATGCGACCGTGGTGACAGATATGTTTAAGTCACTATGCAGAAACTACTCAGGAGTACACACTCTTAGCTGCCGAATCACTTGTGTTACAAATAAGGAAAATCACCAATGTTGTCAGACACGCATATTACAAAGCATTGTGATATGTCAGTTAGTTACAAAACAGCACACAGTAACATATTTACAATCATCCCTTCTTCAGCTTAGTAAACTCTGACAGCGTATAATTAGAGTTTACGCAATGATAAAAGGCTCGGCGGATTGCTACCTGTTTCAAACATGGCGCCCTTCTCGCTTCAGCGATATAACTGTTTGATTACAGCCATTGCTTGGTTCCTTCAACATTTAGAAACATGAAACATATTCGGGATCCATTATGTCTTGTTATACAGCAGAGGCATGCTGGTAAACTTCTTAATCCATGGAAGCACATTCAAAATTCTTTGACGGTAAAGTAAAAATGGCGGCTTCTGTTTGCGACGTTAGATCGCTTCACTATCAGAGAAGTTTGCCAAAGCGTGTACATAACGACTGTTTCAAATGAATAAAAATGTTCAAAGTGCTTCTTATTTTACTTAATTAAACATTTAAAAGCGATGAACAGAAAATTGCCAAGTGCGTTTATACTACCGTATACGCCGTCAAAATGAAAGTTAATCCTTAAGTAAAGCATACAGTACAACTCAGCATACATGATAGCGCGGCATACCATACAGCATAACTTACAGCAAAAAAGAGGCCTCAATGGCCTGATTACTTACCTGGAATTAATTTAACATTGAAAAGTGAACTAACATACAGCTACAGGGGAAATATCAGTGCTTGATTTCAAAGATTTAAACACATGACTTTTGTGACCTTGAAAGTCGAAAAAGGACATTAATTGAACAGAAGTCATAACATTTCTTCCCAGCATGCTTCTTGCCAAGTAACCTCACCATTGTGATTTTGGTTATAAAATAGACGTCGTTACAATAGTTAAACATATTTGTTCGTTGCGACCTTGAGCATTGGCGAAGGTCATCCGTTTAAATATTCGGGCAGGTGAGCTAAAACGCTGATTATCTGGTAGCACATCACATAGGGCAGCACATCATGCAGTAAAACACAACATACTTTACAGCACAACTTACAGTATAACACAGCATACTTTACAGCACAACTTACAGTATAGCACAATATACTTTACAGCACAACTTACTGTAACTTCTTACCACACAACATACGTATTTTACATGTTTAGATATAAATCAAAATGTTATCTTTTATGCTTCATTGAAACAGGCGACTTATAGAATCACCCGACAAGATCGTTGCATACAAAATAGAAATGTCGCCTAAATATCCCCCCTCCCGCATTCCAGCTGCGTAAAGAAACAAAAGAACAAATGTATAGAAAGATCAAGGGTCATGACAAAGTGTAACCGCAGCTGTCGCACCGACAGACCAACGGAAAAGGCAAACACCACTACTGTGACCTCTGACTCAATAACCTCGGAATTTTGTCACGATGTAGCTTGTATCAATGTTACATTTACTCCAAGGTATGTCTATACAAAATACATACAATTTCTGCCATAGTTAGCAATTACAGTAGCATAATGCATCGGTGACACTTGAACTGTGACCTCATGACCTTGACAAATGTGTCACAATATAGCCTCCATAATTGGCTACGATACTCATATATTTATGTGTGTATACAAAATGTCGACTGTTTCCGAGATAATTAACCATTTCGGTTACGTAGTTTATTCGTGACCTTTGAATTCTGACCCCACGACCATGAAAGTGTTTAGTAGAATATATTGCATAAATGCCTACAATATTTCAATGTATGTGTGTATACGAAATACCTACAGTTTTCGAGATAATATAGCCATGTCAGTAATGTCATTTGTGACCTTTAACCTTTGACCCCATTACCTCAGAAGTTTGTCAGAAGAGTAGCTTTCATTAATGCCTTCAACATTTCAAGGTGTATATGTAATTTTAAAATACCTACAGTTTCCGAGATCATTAGCCATTTCAGTAACGTAATGTACCGTCTACAGAAGTCAAGGGTCATAACTCTAGTAAATACTGAAGGGGCATGATGGTGTTCTGGGAGACACGAGTTCAGTTGAGGTAGAACATGCGTGTAAAGTTTCATGAAAATCCATGCATCAGCCTAGGAGAAGTAAGAGGTACATGTTTTTGTCTACAGACAGACAGACGAACAGACGTACGGACAGACATACAAAGTGATACAAGTATTACCCCCCCCCCCCCCATTTACTTCGTTGCAGGGTAATAAAAAGGATAAATAGCAAATTTTAGGTAAATAATATAACTCATGTAAATGTAGAATATAGATACATTTTGATATAATGTAGTTGTTTAATCAATAAAATGATATTTGTAAAATAGGTCGTTTGGGAAATGATAGAACATTTTTATTTCACCAGTTTTCTTATTGAAACACGGCTTGCAAGGTTTTACCGCATTTGTGGTTTGAAGGCGTTTAAAATTTGGGACAACAATATGTTAATTGGTGAAAAGGAATTGGCACACCCTTTCACCTCTAGGTAACTGTAGTAGACTCTACTATACATTGATCTGAATGAGTCCAGTATGGTCGACAGTGGTGAAAGGGTTAATGATGAAGACAAAATCCTAGAAACTCTTGATATTTGGGATGATCTCATCAAAACATTACTATTTGACTTTTGAGCATGACCGGACAAATCAACCGTTACAACATAGATGGGGATGGGGGGGGGGGGGGGGGGG